ACTGTTTCTGGCTGGTAATTACTGAATGCTTTAAATAAAAAAAAGGCAAAGGAGTGGTAGGAAATAGGCAAGACAAGAAACAAAAGAATCAAAAGAAAATGCAAAGAGGAAAACAGAATGAGCAATGGACATTTGGAAGCAACCAAGAAGAGAGCCTGAAGCAAGTTAGAAAGCTGAGAAATTATTCTTCCTTTCCAGTGGCCAAGATAAAGATACAACACATAAAAAATATGTCCCCCTTAAAAGGAAAAAATAAAGGGAATATAGATTAATGCAACAAGGGCCCTGCTAGATGATGGAATCACTTTCCATTAAGAGGGGGCATTTTTTAACCACTATGTCTAATTGGATCTGCTGGGATAGAGGAGCAGCTAGGTTATTTTGAAATAAGTCTTCCTAAGTAAAAATTTTCCTTCTAATCTGTCAACTAAAAGATTTATTAGTGTGAGATTTATTAGTGTATGTTACTGACAGAATCATGTGTTTTCCTAAGTAGCTTTAATTTTTGGTTTTTAGTTTGTTTAGAGATGGGGTTTCACTGTGTTGCCCAAACTAGACCCAAACTTGTGGGCTGAAGCCGTCCTCCTGCCTCAGCCCCCAGAGTAGCTGGGATTGTAGGCACCTGCCTGCCTGGCTAGTTTTTGTTTGTTTTTAAACAGCAGGTTTCCAATTAGAAATAGTTGGCATTTTATAATTTTTAAAGTAATCTACCATTCACGGTACTTACTGAAAAACAATAGAAATAAGACAGTCTCCTCTCATAGAGCTTTGATAATCTTATGACAAATACAGAAAAGCAAACAGGTACTGAAAATGCAGTGAAGAATATGCAGTATGCTGGGTAGGAGAACCGCTCATATGAAACTTCATAGGACAGATCCACTTCATGGGACAAATCCCCATCTCATCTATTCAAGAGGCATTGCTGGTAAAGGGTCCTAGACAGAATGTGCATAGGCTTCCAGGGGAGAGGGTGGTAGCCTGGCTGAAGTATAGAGCAGGAAAAGGATGGAAGAGATGAACTTGAAAGACTAGGAGAAGCTGATGTCCAAAAACCTGGGAGGCCAGCTTAAAGATTTTGGACTTTATTCTGATACTGGTAGATATCCATAAAGGCTTTTGTTGCAGGGAAATGATGGGCATCAAATCAGATCTGGTTGTTTGAGAATGGTTCAAAAGGGAGGCAGAGAATCCAGTCATGTGAGAGAAAGTGTTGGTCTTAACAAAAGATAGTGGCAGAGCAGGTAGAAGAAAGTGGATGGAATCAAAAGTTTTCAGAGGTACAGCTAATGGGACATGGTAAATGAGAGAATTTCTGTGGGATCAAGGATGAGTTTTCAGAAAATTTTTTGATTTTGGCAACTAGATGGTGGGGGTGCCACTTGCCCATCTAGGCAAGGTAGGAGACCAGGTTTGGGATAGATTGCTTTAGACATTGAGATGTCTTTGGGACATCCTTGTGAAGGTGGCAGGTAGTTTGGTCTCAAACTAGGAGATGAACTGAGGACTGAGTAACTACAGTCACTGTAATTTTGGGGGGTTAACATTGCTCAGGAAGCTCTTAGAGTAAGGGCCTGTGATGAGTCCCAAGGAACAGACTTGGGAAGGCCAGGGAATGGGGAGGCACAGGCTGCAGGGAAGAGTACCTCAAAATCGTACCAGGCCACTGTTTGATAAGTGTCTCTGCCTGTTTCACTCTTTTGTTTGCACAAGACGCTAAGACAATATATTGCCTTAAGTAGTCAAAGCGCACCCTGTTTGGAAAAGTTGAGGAGAGGTGGCTGTTTCCCTTATTCCTCTGTGGCTATGCTCTGGGCACTGGAAAAAGCCTGCAAAGGAGATTTACCAGGGAAATAAGCAGAATGCAGGGCGCCTCATGCAACTAACAGGCCATTAAGAGGAGGACTGAAAAGAGCCCATTGAATTTGGCAAGTAAAGATTGCTGGCGAGAGCTCTTTCTAGAAGGGGTGGGGCAGAAATTGGAAAGTCAGTTAAAGTATAGACCATGGGGTGAGGAAAAAGAGACAGTGACTGAAGTGGGCTGGAAGACTTGACCTCCCTCTATTCATACTTGCCCCACTCTATTCTTAGAGAGGCTGGTATGATCTTAAAAGATCGTAACGTGCAAGCATGGTCACTTGACAACTCTACTTTCCACTGTTCTCTGATGACTCAGTCTTTACCCAGAATGTCAGTTTGGCCTCTCCTACTTTGTTTCTGCCCTCTCTGTTCGGCCCCTCGGGCTGCAGCCACATTGCCACCCTAAGACCCTCAAGCCTTTAGTATCAAATTTTGGAGACTCACATGAAGTTATTATGCAGTAGCTCTCTGATTCTCTAAAACTTCTGCAAAGGTGAAGGTGGATTACCTCTTACTTCTGCTTAAATTTCAGGCATTAAGCTGAGCTTAATGGAAAGTGTGGTGCTTTGATCAAAGACATGTCACCTGTTGACTTCTAGAATTAACTTTGAACAAGCTCTTCTCAAAAAACAAGTGCAAAGAAACTGTTAGACCAAGATTGTTCTTTACAGGAAAACATAGGCAGTTGTCGCAGACTGTTGGTTGAGTTCACAGAACTACTCTCTTAAATGATATTCAGCTAATACCAAAAAAAGCTAATGCAGCTTTTTTTGGAGAGTAAGTTAAAATAATACTTAGGGCAAATGTCTTCATTCTGGTTAAAGGTGGACATGATACATCACCTTGGAGGTGCCACTGCTGTCATACTTCCCTATAGCTTCAAAAGAGGCTAATTAAACACAAAAAAAGAGGCCTGGCACAGTAGCTCATGCCTGTAATTCCAGCACTTTGGGAGGCCGGGGTAGGCGGATTGTGAGGTCAAGAGATCGAGACCATCCTGGCCAACATGGTGAAACCCCGTCTCTACTAAAAATACCAAATATAAGCTGGGCATGGTGGCACACACCTGTAGTCCCAGCTACTCAAAGAGACTGAGGCAGGAGAATTGCTTGAACCAGGGAGGCGGAGGTTGCAGTGAGCCCAGATTGCGCCACTGCTCTCTAGCCTAGTGACTGAGACTCCATCTCAAAAAAAAAAGCATACATCAAGCATACATCAGGAACTCTTTCACGAAGACTTTTTTTTTTTTTTTGAGACAGAGTCTCGCACTGTCGCTCAGGCTGTAGTGCAGTGTCGCGATCTCAGCTCACTGCAATCTCCGCCTCCTGGGTTCAAGCAATTCTCCTGCCTCAGCCTCCCAAGTAGCTGGGACTACAGGCATGTGCTGCCACACCCAGCTAATTTTTTTGTATTTTTAGTAGAGACGGGGTTTCACCATCTTGGCCCGGATGGTCTTGATCTCCTGACCTCATGATCCGCCTGCCTCAGCCTCCCAAAGTGCTGGGATTACAGGCAAAAGCCACCACGCCCGGCTGACTCTGACTTACCTTTTAAGGCAAAGTAGGGTTAATTTCATATTTAGCATTTATTTTTTAGAAGGAATTTGTTCATCTAAATCTAAGAAGGTTCTAAAAGGCAAAACTTCAGTTATGTGGATAATTGAGTTATCTGTTATCTAGGACCACCTATCACAGTATTAGGATTATTGTAGGAGTATAAAGTAGTATCAGCAAGGTATGGTCTATGCCATTCAGGATTTCTTTTCTAGTTTAAAACACATCATTTTATTCTACTAAAGGAGAAAGGATTTATTAAAAATAAAAAAAAAATTAAAAAAGCATTTGTCTCAAACGGTTAGAGCCTTGGTTTATAGAAAGAAGGTTCATCACCTGAAATTTATATATAATACATATAAGTATGTAAGTATGAGAACATTAAGACATTTAACTTTACCAGAAATGTTTCACAGGTGCACCCACAGGACAGGAGCATTTGAGTTTAGTTGTTTTTAAGTGCCTGGGAAGATGTCTACTTCAGTCTATAATACATTATCAGAATTTTATCAACTAGTTTTTAAGGGACAGTGGTTCAGTTCACTTTAAGGAAGTTTGTTATCTGAACCAAGAAATGGCACACACACAAATATTTTAGAGGCATGTTTATGTAACCAGCATGTAAAAACACACAAGCTGTTTCCCCAACCGTCTGACACTTATATTTTCAAAGTCTAAGCTAATTACTTTGTGAAAAAAAATTTAATAATCCAATTAATGGAAGCTTCTTAGTTTTTCAAAAATTCATTTCAAAGACAAATGTTAGAAGTTGTTCAGTGTCCCATAAACTATAATCTTTTAGGCCAAATACATAGTGAAAGCAGAGCAATCCCTAGACCCTAAATGACCCTGGAGATTCACAATTCTCTCCCACCACTCCAGGTTCTGTGACTGGATAATCAGTTATTATACTCTACAACAAAACATGCTGGTTATTAATCTAATTATAGCATACTGACTTAACAGGTAATGGTTTCTCAACTTTCACCACACAAAAAAGGATATTAAGAATGTGAAGCGACTACTCACGACGTCTGAGGTTGCTTCAGTAATCCCCCCATAGTTGTTTGCCTGAAAAAAGATCAAATGAATAATCCATCATTCCTGCCCACACCATTTGAGTGTACAGAGGAAGGTGCAGATTAGTTCACAATGATTAAGGATTTTATATATCGGTGTAGTATGGAAAGTGAAGTTTAAAAAAAAAAAAAAAAAAAAAAAACTTACTAAGGAATAGCTATTAACTTTGGATGAAACCAAAAGATCAAGGTTTGAAATCTACTTGATGCTGTTGCACAGGTGACTGTTTTATTTTGTTGAAACAGCCCACAGCCCTCTCCATTGTTGGCTGTCTGCGGTGATCCCAAAGGCAGCAGGGGGTGTGAGCGCCTGGAGAAAGCGTGCAGTGTGCACATGTGCCAAGCATCTGACTTTCGGGGCCCTGTGGGTTGAAGACATTGTACCGACAGCCCATCTGATTCCACAGGAGGTTTAAGGCAAACTGCCATCCTCAGTCCACAGTTTGACAGTAGATTCTTTAATAGAGGATGAAGGGGAAAAGCAAAATGAGAGCTGTGCAAGTTTTAAAAGTTGAACAGAATATTTTATTTCTTAGCAATTCTATGCATACAAATTAAACATGAGATGAATCGAGACTTTATTAATTGAGAAAGCAAGAGAGAATTCCTATCAACCCCAAGAGGAACTCAAAGTGAGGTTGGAAAAGGACTTAGAAGGGTATGAAAGTAAGATTTTATCTAAGTTGCCTTTTCTAGGTGGGAAAGTTTAACCTTAGGGACTGGGTTAAAAGGACATAGACATGAAGAATGTTCAAGCTGGAGGTGACAACATGAATTGCAAACAGGGCCTGCTTCAGTGACTTCGTGCCTGTAGTCCCAGCTACTCGGGAGTGTGAGGCCAGGGGTGCCAGCACACCAGCTAGATGCTCCATAACTTCTAGGCCCCATTTTCCCCTCTGAAAATAAGAAGGTTAGATCAAAGGATCTCTTAGGTCTCAGCATCTCAAATCCTGTGGATCCTCCCACTTACCCCTTAGAGAGCCTTACTGAAAGTCATTAATGACGAGGCCAGTTATTTGCAAGCGGTAAGAGCATATTTACCATAAATCCTAAGAACCAACTGAAGTCAAACCTTAATCCCATTGTTACTGTGAATTAGGAATTAGTCATTCTCAAAATTCACATTAACTTGATTTTAAAATCAGTTTTGTGAGTCATTTACCACAAGCTAAATGTGTACACTATGACAAAAACCATTGCATTTCTCATGTTCTTCTAAACAGTCCCAGTTTCTAACACTGTATATCCTTTCAACATCAATGAACTTAGTTTTCTTTTACTCCAGTCATAAAGTAGGCCCAGATCTGTCCACAGCAAGCCTGCCCTCTCGTGCCGTGCCTCTGCCTCTCACTGTGCTGCGCTCCATGTCAGCCCGCTTATGACCCGTTTTTCAAAAATCTAATCTGCTCCTTTTCTTGGTAATATATTTAGAGAAGATGTTACTTTGCCCACATACATGAAACAAAGTAAATACAGACCACAAGTGTTCAAATTGTAAGCCGTAGTAGTGTTTTGCACATTAAAAACGACACGGGTTATTATACAAGTAATGTTTTTAAAAATTCTCACAAAACAGCTTTGTATTTAGACTTAAAGCTGTTTCTAGTTTGCTAGTGACATTTGTGTTAACAGTCAGTGCTCTAGGCTATTGATTGTCAGAATCTGAATTGACTGCACAAGAGCATAAGCCAGTCAGTCTTTAAGTGAGAACAGGTAACAGGCTGGCACCAGCACTCCACAGCACGTGGACAGGACGATGCCAGTGGTAACCCAGACAGAGTTCTGTGTCTCTCCTTCACAGCAGATGGACTCTTCCTATACGTGGCTGTTAATTTACACAAAGTTACATTCCAGAATCAGGAAGCCCTACTGTCGCCAACACTTGAAGGAGAACTATGTTCCATTTTTGGTGTTGATCTTCTCATAAAATACCTATTATCAAAAATTGTTACATCTTATTAGACACTTCAGAAGTACCCCCTAAAAGCTGTTTAAAAGACCATTCCATTTGTCCTACACAAATTACATACTAAAATTTCACAATAATCATCTTTAGATGTACATTTTAGTACATTTCACAGTTTGAAGTATTCAGTCCCTCCTGAACATTTTGTAGTCATCTCTTCAGTCCTGATGTGAAATACGTGATTCCAATTCAGAGTGTATGATTCCGCTTTTCATGCTGGTCAAGTAAATTTATGGTGTCTCTCTTCTGATCGTCATTAAAAACTAAAAAGGAAAAAAAAAAAACACAAACATAATATTCTAGGATTAAACATTTTGAGTTACCAGCCTAGGCAGGTCCCATTTTGCATTAATTTCTAGAAATTGTGTCAAAGAGGGCTGTATCTCCCACAGCAACACTGTAATTGGGAATTGCATTCCTCATCAAGGATGAGATGGCAAAGGTCGTATGAGAGGGAGGCAGGGAAGTGCTGCGTAGAGAAGGGCAGGGTCTCTGGCAAGGGCTCCACCCTCAGGCCTGTCTTCATGACCAAATGTTGCATTTTCCAAGACCACACTGGCCTGCCATGCCCCCCATCCTATGCCTATAAAAACCGAGACCCCAGCGGGCACACATACAAGTGGCTGGGCGTTGAGAGTAACACACTGGCAGAAGAGCACGTCGACAGACACCAGCAGGGAACTGATGGCAGAACGACGCAGAAACCAAGGGAAATTTGACCAAGGACAGTAGGAGGAGAGCTTGGCTGCTGAGCAGACCGACTCCCAGGGAAGACCCTTCCCACTCCATCCCTCGTCTCCCTCCCCACCTATCTGCTGACAGCTACTTCCACCACTCAATAAATCTTGCATTCATTTTCCAAGTACTTGCCCTAGTACGCTAGGGCAAGAACCTGGGATACAGAAAGCCCTCTGTCCTTGCAATAAGGCAGAGGATCTAATTCAGGCATCCCCAAACTTTACACAGGGGGCCAGTTCACTGTCCCTCAGACCATTGGGAGGGCCACCACATACTGTGCTCCTCTCACTGACCACCAATGAAAGAGGTGCCCCTTCCTGAAGTGCGGCGGGGGGCCGGATAAATGGCCTCAGGGGGCCACATGCGGCCCACGGGCCGTAATTTGGGGACGCCTGATCTAATTGAAATGATTAACACAAGCTGCCTGTGGACAGCTAAACTGAAAGAGCACACTGTAACACACACCCACTGGGGCTTCAGGAGCTGTAAACACTCAACCCTAGATGCTACTGTGAGATTGTAACCCATGCTCCCCTAGGGGATTGAGCTGCAGGGCACTGAAGAAGCAAGTCACACACCCACTGCATGCCTTGTGAGAGGCATAAAGGAACTCCTCCCATTTCAAAGGGACTGAATGCATGGCCAACCATGTGCCATAAAACAAAGCTGAGGCACCTAAAGATTCTATACTTGTTAAAACAGTGACATAATGCCCCATATGCCACAGCAAATGGACAAAATAAAGTGCACTCATGGAATTTTAGATAATAACCCTCCTGTGTGTTGTGATTCCCTTCCTACTGCACTTCTGGTGGCACAGAGCCGTCTGCAGCTTCATACAGCTCTTGTGACTCCAAAGCTCTCCTGCTTTACAGAGCTGAAGTCTGTATGTGGCTTCTACCATCTGGTCTTACTCTTTCCTTTCACACACACACACACACAAACATAAAAAGACACTTCACAAATAAAACCTAAAACCACGGTCTTGATTTATAACTATGGTGCATTAAATGGTAATTTAATGACTATTCATTAAATAATTCTTATTAAACTAACAGTTATCTGTTAAAGGCTCTAATAAAGTTGGAGCTAATGTCTTTTTCTTCTTATTTCCCTGAAGCAAGTAAGGTCTCAAACTATTTCAATGACATAATCTAAAATAATGTGGAAGCTGATGTTAATGACATTTCTTCAGCTTCTTCAAAGTGCTGACAAGGCACTTACCTTCTTTCCCTTACCTACCTACTTCGTTTAAAACCTTATGCAAAGTCAAGTCCTTAGGACACATGAGTGTAGGGGATGAGAGATCGAAAAAGCCTTCACCACAAAGCCAAGCATTTAGTATGACACTACAATGGAAAGGTTGTTAGAGGCCAGGTGCCTGTAATCCCAGCTCACGCCTGTAATGCCAGTACTTTGGGAGGCCGAGGTGGGTGGATTGCCTGAGATGAGTTCAAGACCAGCCTGGCCAACATGGTGAAACTCCATCTCTACTAAAAATACAAAATTAGCTGGGCATGGTGGCACAAGCCTGTAATCACAGCTCCCAGCTATTTGGGAAGCTGAGGCAGGAGAATCACTTTAACCTGGGAGGCTGAGGCTGCAGTGAGCTGAGATTGTGCCATTACACTCCAGTCTGGGCAAAAAGAACGAAACTGTCTCAAAAAAAAGTTGTTAGAATAGAGGTAAGACAGTGACCAGACTCTGAAACATGCTCAAGAACTGAAGTACACAAATGAACAGAGTCAATGACATACACAGAACAGAAAAAGACTGTATTTGCTTAAAAGTCTGGCTGTATTCACCATTTACCTTTTTAAAAAAATTGCCTAAATGAAGATAGCTGATAATTCAAATTAGGACTTGCATTCTAAAAATTCCAAACAATTCTGCCAATTGAAACAACTGACATCCTGGATAAATGTAATTTTTAAGAGCACACTGTTGAAGAATCACAGATGGAGGGACTTTTTTTTTTTTTTTTTTTTTTTTTGAGATGGGAGTTTCGCTCTTGTTACCCAGGCTGGAGTGCAATGGCGTGATCTCGGCTCACCGCAACCTCCGCCTCCTGGGTTCAGGCAATTCTCCTTCTTCAGCCTCCTGAGTAGCTGGGATCACAGGCACGCGCCACCACGCCCAGCTAATTTTCTGTATTTTTAGTAGAGACGGGGTTTCACCATGTTGACCAGGATGGTCTCGATCTCTTGACCTCGTGATCCACCCGCCTCGGCCTCCCAAAATGCTGGGATTACAGGCGTGAGCCATCGCGCCCGGCCCTGAGAGACTTTCAACCAAATAACTGGGCCACTGTCCTTCAAAAAAGACCAACAACATAAATGATAAAGACAGAAAGATCTCCACCATAAAGAACACTAAAAGAGGTCTGACACTAAATGCAATGTATAATTCTGGGCCAGAGAAAAAAATCAGTTGGACATTGAGTAAGTTGAACAAAGTCTACAGATTAGATAATAGCATTGTAAAAATGTTAATTTCACTATTTGGGTAATTTTACTTGGTTATATAAGATGTTAACATTTAGTGAACTTGGGTGAAGGGTATATGGAAATTTTTTGCTTTTTAAAAAAATCTAAATTCTTTCAAAATAAAGAGGTAAAAATATGTAAATATTAAAACATTAAGAATAATGCATGCCAGGTGCGGTGGCTCACGCCTGAAATCCCAGCACTTTGGCAGGCTGAGGCGAGTGGATTACAAGATCAGGAGTTCAAGACCAGCCTGGCCAACATGGTGAAACCCCATCTCTACTAAAAATACAAAAATTAGCCAGGCATGGTGGCAGGCGCCTGTAATCCCAGCTACTCGGGAGACTGAGACAGAGAACTGCTTGAACCTGGGAGGCGGAGGTTGCAGTGAACTGAGATAGTGCCACTGCATTCCAGCCTGGGTGACAGAGCGAGACCCTGTCTCAAAATAATAATAATAAAATAATGCCTTGCCCAGATCAGGTGTCCCCAAACTACGGCCCACGGGCCGCATGTGGCCCCCGAGGCCATTTATCCGGCCCCCCGCCTCACGTCAGGAAGGGGCACCTCTTTCATTGGTGGTCACTGAGAGGAGCACAGTATGTGGCGGCCCTCCAACGGTCTGAGGGACAGTGAACTGGCCCCCTGTGTAAAAAGTTTGGGGACGCCTGGCCCAGACGGTAATAAAAGGAGGCACTGGCAAGGCAGAAACTGAAGTGAAGGTAACAACTCCTGCTGGCTTGAGCATTTCTGCTGAATTCTGAAGTTTATGATGATATTTTAAATGTAGTCACCCTCAGAGGAGGACGGGGAAACAATTCATAGTCATGAAAACTACTAAAAAGAAAAAATCAAGCATTTATCCTATCTACCTTATACAAACGATACCACTGAAGGGTCTTTTTGAGACGAACTTTTGCTCTTGTTGCCTAGGCTGGAGTGTGCAATCTCAGCTCACTGCAACCTCTGCCTCCGAGTTCAAGTGATTCTCCTGCCTCAGCCTCCCAAGTAGCTGGGATTACAGGCATACGCCACCATGCCCACTAATTTTTTTGTATTGAGTAGAAAAGGGGTTTCAAGATGTTAGGCTGGTCTTGAACTCCTGATCTCAGGTGATCCACACACCTCAGCCTCCCAAAGTGTTGGGTTACAGGCATGTACCACCATGCCTTGCCTTAAGCTTAAGTGTCTATTTCTAAGAACATTCCAATTAACAAATGACATAGACATGAATTGATACAGGCACTGAGCATCAACTGGCATCACAAAAAGAAAGACATCAGATACAATGTGCCTCCCGATGAGAAAACATACCACCACCGATCATCTTACCAAGGACTTGCACCTGGACCTGACTCTCATCAAGCCTCTGGGTCTAGCTGCCACTCTGCAGAACAGAGAGTCCAGGAGACCTCGCTAAACTGCCCCATGACTCTACAATCAGCAATATTTAGGCTGTGAGAAACTACAGGTCACATGGCTTGGTTTTTTTTGTTTTTTGTTTTTGAGACAAAGTCTCGCTCTGTCGCCCAGGCTGGAGGGCAATGGCACGATCTCGGCTCACTGCAACCTCTGCCTCCTGGGTTCAAGCAATTCTCCTGCCTCAGCCTCCTGAGTAGCTGGGATTACAGGTGCCCACCACTACACCCGGCTAATTTTTGTATTTTTAGTAGAAACGGGGTTTCACCATATTGGCCAGGCTGGTCTCAAACTCCTGACGTCAGGTGATCCACCCACCTCAGCCTCCCAAAGTGCTGGGATTACAGGTGTGAGCCACCGCAGCTGGCCTGTGTTTACTTTATAACATAAAATTGGAATGCATACAAAATTAAAACATACTGGATGAAAGCATGGATGAATTTTTTCCAAACCTAGATGGGCAAGCCTTGCTGTAACTGTGACTCAGTATCCAGAAGCAATAAAAGAAAGGATAAAATGCTTGAAAATTTTACATGGCTACAACATGGGTAAAACCAAGATAAGCTGGGAGAAAGTATTTGCAATTTACATCACAGATAAAAGGCAATCTTCTTAATATATAAAGAGCTCTCGAAAACTGAGAAACAAAACACCAAGAATCTAATAGAAAAATGAATTTTGTTTTGTTTTGAGACAGTCTTCCTCTATCACCCAGGCTGGAGTGCAATGGCACAATCTCAGCTCACTGCAACCTCCGACTCCTGGGTTCAAGTGATTCTCCTGCCTCAGCCTCCAGAGTAGCTGGGACTACAAGCGTGTGCCACCACACCCAGCTAATTTTTTGTATTTTTAGTAGAGACGAGGTTTCATCACGTTAACCAAAATGGTCTTGATCTCCTGAGCCCGCCTTGGCCACCCAAAGTGCTCTGTTTACAGGCGTGAGCCACCGCACCCAGCCCAGGAAAATGAATTTTAACAAAGAATACTGATTCCATAGTGATACCAAAACAAACAAGTGTGTTGGAGGATGGAGAGGAGTTCCTTTAAAAATATTAAGTAATAAATGTGCTGGGATGTCAGAATCTAGAATGTTTACCATCCATTGATGGGCAATGTTCATCAATGGATGGTAAAGCCACACAAATTGACAGCATCCTCTTCTAGATAACGTATTAATGTCCAAAGGAAAATGGCCTTCTGAGACCTCACAGGCACCACGTCCGCTAAGAAATCAACTGCCAGTAGGACCACCTGCTGTTATGCCTCCTGGGGGAACGCAAGAATTCATCAGCCCGAATCCATCACAAGCAAACAGACGAGGCCAGAGTTTGATACGTTCTACAAGATACTGGCCTGGACTCTTCAAAAACTCAGAATAATAATACAAAGGGCAGCTGTAATACCTGCCTGTAAGCTCTATGCACATACTGGGGCGTTTCATCTGGGAGGTAAACTGATCAAGTAGTGACCTAGCCATTTTGTCGGGAAATCCCTAAATGTCACTGGAAAATCATCCTACTTAAAGGCTTGAGCCACACTGAATATATTTCTAGAAACTATGCAGAGTTTCTGAATGGTTTTCATCACCGTGGGCTTCCCAACCCTCTCTCCTCCCTCCACTGCCCCAGCTTTCAAAGTCTCCTGAAGAAAAGACGGTCTCCTTGAAGTGATCCATTAATTACGATAGTATTTGAGGATTCACTAGATAATCACAGCAAAGGACCAGAAAGGGGAAATGAAAGGTGACTTCCCCACCAACCCGGGCACCACTGTTACCATCTATGTTTCTGTCATTCGCTGCCAGGGCTGCCTGCTTGTCTGTTTCAGATTCCGCCTCATTTTCATCCATGTTGTAATCATCTTCTCCTCTCAGTTTTTGCTGGTTTCTCCCTGTAAAATTGGCAGATAAAACGTAAGCTACATCATTTCTCTGTTGATGTCACAGAAATATCCACGCGCAGGTGCTGGGGGTCATCCATCCTTGCTCACAGTCGGATCCGTGTGCTGCCTCTCTGGAAATGGCAGGGACACACGGGCTGGCTTCCAAGACAAACACACGCACTGTGTGTACTCTGCTTGGCCTCTGAATCTAGGGACAACATGGCCCTCAATAAAAGGTGCATTCGAGGCTCAACCCGGAGAAACTCACCCAAGTCTCCATTTTTTTAAAGAGATAATCAACTCTTTAAAAGGTAAAATAAAGGTGCTACTGTTTTAGGAAGGAACAGTTATCTATAGTTAATGACAGCATCTCCTTAGAATGGAGAGAGGAAATGGAGCTGCCACTGTGAGCCCAGGGAGAAACTGTCCCTCATATTTATAGCACGAGAGCACCCACGACTCTATTCATCCCTGGAGGGGGGACAGCAACCAGAACAGATGAGGACAAAAGGCTTTCAAGAGACCTACTCAGAGGGTTTCAGCTACACAGTTTACATGCGTATGCAGGCAAGTAAAGCTAATCTGTTTTAAAAGTTCACACCTGGAAAAGCAGCTCTGGTTCTATTTCTCTGGCTCACTGCCTGGAGTGGAGAGTGCAAAGGCCTGCATGGCCTGCATACCGTTCTTCAAATGAGGTCACTACACCGGCAGCTAGAAGCAGGTGCATCCCACAGGTGCTGCGGCATCTCAGGCCCAAGTTTGTTACGCTTCGCGGCCAGCCACTGAAGGGTCTGATGCTTGAGCGCCACAGGCTGAGCCAGCCGGTGGGATCTCCCCGCCTCACACACCATAAGCAGCTTTCTGCTGGGCAGGCATGGAACACAGGGACCCAGCAGGGATGCTTAGGGAGGGCTAACAAAATGCAATTCTTTAACTGGAACTTGGGAGGACACGTTCTTCAGAAAGACACTGAAGTGAAATTTATGTTTAAATGGAATCAGGGTAACTTACTGCAAATAAATGCATTCTCCAACTTCTGTCACTTGGTCCACCCCAGAGCGCAGGCGTCATGTCCTCAGAAGTGTTCCTGGCTCAGGTGGGAAGGACATTTTCCACATCTGAAGGGTCTGAAATCCCAGAATAGTCTGTTGATCTCAGATTCCTACCCTTTATGTCTTTAAAAACAAAAATGTCAACCAAACAAAAAGGAGTGATTCTCATGTCATTTTTCTTCAGTGTTCAAATACACATTAACCTTCATCTACCCAATATTCCTTCCTTCCTTCAGTCATTCATTCACTAGGCACCGACTGTCTAAACAGCAGCAGACACTGCACGACAGTGGAGATACAAAGATGGGGCACGTGGCCTGCCTGCCAGGAGGGGACGTCCACTTGGTGCTAGGGACCCATCTCCAGGTCACCCACCTGCAAGGTCCCCTCGGCTCCCTGTCAGTATTGCATCTAAAACCTCCAGTTCTGGAGCATATGCTGCTTTTCCTTCCTGCCTCCCTCCTGATAACAAATAAGAAACCTTCAGACGAAAAGGAACTGGCAAATCATTGACTGCTGTTTGGTCAAATTCAGGGTGATCCTTGGTGCTGGGAAGGAGATGGAGGTGGCTCAGTGTCTGGTGGAAACGAGTCCACAGCAGCCTCCGAAGCCTCACACCCACCTTCCTCGGCAGCTTCCTGCTCCTCCTGTCCGTCGGGGATGACAAGCTGGTCTCGCTCAGGGCCCTCGGCCTCCTGATTTTCCTGGCTCACCGACAAGGCAGCTGCCACCTGTGGGGTCTGGCCCAGTTCTCTGGCTCCCCCGAAGCCTCTTCCGCCCACAGGTCTGTCTTCTGCCACCTGCTCCCGGCCTGGCTCCTGCGGCAGCTGCAGCCTCTCCCTCTGAGGCTCCTCCTCACTCACCACCTGGATCTCATTGACTTCCTCTGTGCACAGAACACAGTTAGCTGTGACCTTGCCAACATTTGATTTTAAAAAAGCCTTGTGCCACTCAATTCCCAGATGCGTGGGGGTGGGGTGGGGTGGGCTGCACACAGGAGAACCACCAGGTAGCTCCTTTTGGGACCTCAGACGCCAACTGCAGGCCTCTCTGTGCCTGCAGCTCACCGTCAGAACTGCAATGAAGGGGAAAGTAGCTTAAAAAACATGGACTAAATTATCTCACAAGCTCCGAAGGGAAGAGGGTGTCCTGCTGAGTGACCTGATTGTCGTGAGACAAGCACTTGGGAGCCAGGGCAGGCAGGCCCACCTGGTGCCTGTCACAGACACAGCAGCCTCCTGGGTCTGAGTCAGGGGCTCAGCTGTCTCCCCCGCGTCCCACAGGCCTAGCAATGTCCTGCATAAAGATGTAGCCTGGGCCTTTCTCTACACAGCTGCCCAAGAGCACGGCACTTCGTTTGCAAGGAGGCGACATCAGTAAGACAGGGAAGAAGCCCCAAGGCCCCAATTCCAGGTGCCCAGAGAGACACTGCCCTGCTCCTGGCTGCCTGGCTGCCAGGTTCACCAGCTGCCTCAGAAGCTCGCTTGGACCGCTTCCTCTGATCAGGCTCTGCAGCAGGCGTCCCCAAACTACGGCCCGCAGGCCGCATGCGGCCCCCTGAGGCCATTTATCCGGCCCCCCGCCGCACTTCAGGAAGGGGCACCTCTTTCATTGGTGGTCAGTGAGAGGAGCACAGTATGTGGTGGCCCTCCAACGGTCTGAGGGACGGTGAACTGGCCCCCTGTGTAAAAAGTTTGGGGACGCCTGGTCTAGAGAGGGGAGCAGGGCAACTGCCAGGCTCTGCTGACCTTTCTCAGCTTGTCTCTTGGAATCCACAGCCACTTCGGAACTGGGGGCTGGTGTCTGGTACTTGCTGTTGCTGGGCATCTTTCCTTTCCCTTGTGGCACCTCTGTGCGTGGCAGGCCTGCCGCCTGCTGCCTGGGCTGAGGCTTGCCGAGGGCTTGGAGCTGAAACAGAAGCACAAGACAGCCAGGGTGTGGCTCTGTGAGCAGAAGCCTTACAAGAATCCCACCAACTCAATGAAGCCCGCCAGTCCCACTACCACGTCCTTCCGACCAAGACCCTGAGAAACGCCACTGTCTACTCTGGTCACACCCTGGTCATGTGGCATAAATCAGAAGACAAGAGGTTGAGTCAGGGTCTCCCAGAAAGTACTGTCAGGACGGATTAAAACTGGGCGGTGATTCTGCTGAGAGGAAGCATTGAAGAATGTAAAATACCTAAGCTGAAGGTCAACAACAAAGAAGAAGCCATGAGCGACACAGTACTCTGACTGCTGGAACATCTGCAGAAGCCTCAGCCCAGCAACGGCAAAAGCGCACAGAATATTCTCCAGCATGGACAATGTCGGGCCACAAAGGCAGGCTCCACACACTTAGTAACTAAAATCACACAAAGTAAATTCTCTAATAGCAATGGAAGGGATTATAAATCAATAACAGCATGACACTTGTGACATTCGCAAATATTTGGAAATAAAACAACACACTTCTATAAATAACCAGTGAGTCCAACGATAAATCACAATGCAAATTAGAAAATGCTTTGACACAAATTAAAACAAAACTGCCACATGCCAAAACTTACGGGAAGCAGCTCCAGCAGCGCTTGGAAGATAATGTACACCTTCAAACATCTGTATTAGACAGAAGACTTCCAGTTTTCAGTTCCTCATGTGAGGAGCTTAGAAGTCACCACTTGGTTCTAACCACAAGTAAAAAGCTAAACAGATTGAAAAGTTACCAGCCCTTCTTGGATCCATAGGAGAGATGAGGACGAGTGTAAATCACTGTTCCTAAGCCTGGAGACAGACAGCCCAATACAGTGAGCCCTAGCTCACCAGGACAGGTTCAGGCAGACGTCACCGTGGGAACTGCTGTGGGGGTGGAGCCTGACTTGCCATTTATGAACTGCTTGAGGCTCAGTGTGATGAGTCTGAGAGGCTCAAGCCTGTAATCCCAGCACTTTGGGAGGCCGAGGCGGGTGGATCACGAGGTCGAGAGATCGAGACCATCCTGGTCAACGTGGTGAAACCCCGTCTCTACTAAAAACATAAAAAATTAGCTGGGCATGGTGGCGCGTGCCTGTAATCCCAGCTACTCAGGAGGCTGAGGCAGGAGAATTGCTTGAACCCAGGAGGCGGAGGTTGCGGTGAGCCGAGATCGCGCCATTGCACTCCAGCCTGGGTAACAAGAGCGAAACTCTGTCTCAAAAAAAAAAAAAAAAAGAAACCTGCCCCCAGTCATAAGGGGCTCCCATCCTTACGAGTTCTACCCCTAGGACCTCAACCAGGCTCTCAGTAAATATCAGAGAAAAGCTGGCTTGTGCTTCCAGCAGTGGGAGGGGAAAAGAGGCCAGAGCGCTCCATCCTCTCTCAGCAGGCCTGCCCTCGGGAGGAGCACACTACCCAGAGCTCCGCTGCCGGGAGCCTAGCTGAACTGGGGGAATGAAACACCCAACTCCAGTAAACTCCAGGCTTCATGCAGGAGAAGGACGCTACACACAACTCTAGCCCATTCCAGCCACTCTGTCCCACTGGGGTAAGGGAGTGGCTACTGAGAAGCACAGGGGATATTCACAGCCAAGGGACTCAGGCTCACTAAAAACTCTCATACTTACAGCACAATGATTTTTGACAAAGGTGACAAGACGATTCAGTGGGGAGAAAACAGTCTACCTTTCAACAAGTAATACTGAGATAACCTGATACATACACACACACACACACACACATATACACACGAATGAAGCGGGAGCTCTACCTCACACCACATGCAAGAATTAAATTAACTGAAAATGAATCATAGGCCTAAATGATCTAAGAACTAAGAACCGGCTGGGCGTGGTGGCTCAAGCCTGTAATCCCAGCACTTTGGGAGGCCGAGGCGGGTGGATCACGAGGTCAAGAGATCAAGATCATCCCGGTCAACATGGTGAAACCCCGTCTCTACTAAAAATACAAAAAATTAGCTGGGCATGGTGGCGCGTGCCTGTAATCCCAGCTACTCAGGAGGCTGAGGCAGGAGAATTGCCTGAACCCAGGAGGCGGAGGTTGCGGTGAGCCGAGATCGCGCCATTGCACTCCAGCCTGGGTAACAAGAGCAAAAAACTCCATCTAAAAAAAAAAAAAAAAAGAACTAAGAACCATCATCTAAGAATTAAGATGATAAAAGATGATAAAACTCTGAGAAGAAAATGTAACAGTAAATCTTCATGATCTTGGGTCAAAAAGTGTTCTAAACGTAACACCAAGAACACACAACAAAAGAAAAAATAAATAAAATGGATTTTGTCAAAATTAGAACTTTTTTTTTTTGAGATGGAGTTTCACTCTTGCTGCCCAGGCTGGAGTGCAACAGCACAATGTCAGCTCACTGCAACCTCCACCTCCCAGGTTCAAGCAATTCTACTGTCTCAGCCGCCCAAGTAGCTGGGATTACAGGCATGCGCCACCACACCGGGCTAATTTAAAAATTTTATTCGAGACAGGGTTTCTCCATGTTGGTCAGGCTGGTCTCAAACTCCCAATCTTGGGTGATCTGCCTGCCTCAGTCTCCCAAAGTGCTGGGATTATAGGGATGAGCCACCGTACCTGGCCAAAATTAAGAACTTTTGTGCTTCAACTAAACACCGTCAAGAAAGTGAAAAAACCCACAGAACCGGGTGGGGGGGTGGGGAACCGTGTAAATCATATATCCATTATCATATATCTTTAGTACAATCTATTTTTTAAAACTCTCAGAACTCAGTTATAGCTCAATTAAAAAATGAGCAAAGGACCTGAATAGACATTTCTCCAAAGAAGATAAACAAATGGCCAATGAAGTGTGTGAAAAGATGCTCAACATCATTAGTTATTAGGGAAAGGCAAACCCAAACGACAATGAGCTACCACTCCACACCTGCTAGGAAGGGTGTAATGAAAAGGTAGTATCAAGAGTTGGCAAGGATGTGAAAAAACTGGAACCCTCATAAACTACTGGCAGGAGTGTAAAATGGTATGGCCACTTTGGAAGAAGTCTGGGAGTTTCTCAATAGGTTAAATACAGATTACCAAATAACCCAACAGTTCCACTCCTAGGTATTACCCAAAAGAAATGAAACATATGACCACACAAAAACTTCATGTTCATACAGCATTATTCATAATAGCCAAAATGTGGAAACAATCCAAATGCCCATCAACTGACAATGAATAAACCACATGTCATCTATCCATAGAATGGATTAATTAGCCATAAAAGGAAATGCAATACTGACACATGCTGCAACCTAGATGAGCCCTGAAGCATTTATACTCAGCCAAAGAAGCCAGACAGGCTGGGTGCAGGGGCTCACACCTGTAATCCCAGCACATCGGGAGGCTGAGGCGGGCGGATCACTTGAGGTTGAGAGTTCAAGACCAGCCTGGTCAACATGGCAAAACCCCACCTCTACTAAAAATACAAAAATTAGCTGGGTGGGGTGGTGGGTGCCTGTAATCCCAGCTACTCAGGAGGCTGAGGCAGAACTGCTTGAACCTGGGAGGAGGAGGATGCAGTGGGCCAAGATTGCACCACTGCACTCCAGCCTGGCCAATAGCTCGAGATGCCCTCTCAAAAAAAAAAAAAACGCAACCAGACACAAAAGGCCACACATCTATGATTCCATTGACAGGAAATTGTCCAGATCAGGCAAATCAAGAGACACAAAGTAAATTAGGAGCTGGTGGTCTAGGGCTGTGGGGAATGAAGAACTAATGGATACACCGTTTCTTTTGCGGTAGTAAAGATGTTCTGAAATTGAATGTGGTGATGGCTGCATTGTAAATGTTCTATGGGTGAATCACAGGGAATTGTGAATTATATCTTAATGAAGCTGCTATGTTTTTTAAAAACCAACCAAAGATCACGCAGAAGGCTTCCGGCAGCAGCTTCGTGGGCCGTCCTCTGCAGGAGAGGTGGGCTGACGGCATGACGCATGGCTCGGCCAGACCTGAGGTCTTGATGGGCTCTACCACTGACCAGGTGTGATGCTGGCCACAGAACTTAACCCCTCCTGTGGGCCTGGGGTCCTCAATCAGGAAAACAGCAACTCTCTCCCAGGCTGGCTATGAACTTGAAACAGGATAGTTCCTGTAAAGCCCTGAGCTTGAGAAGTGGAGCTGGAGGCCAGCACACCTGGTTAGGGTCCAGGCATCCCAGAAACAGGTTCTGCTCTGTTGTATCTCAGGGAGCCAAGCCCACAAGGGAGGTCAGAGACGAGAGAAAGCCAGACAGCAGATAGGAGAAACAAAACGCCTGGAGACAGGGGTACCTTCTAGAAACTCTTGGCAGAAATTCCCCAGTTACCTGCTGACTCTGGTCGTTGTTTTCACTCAGGTCTCTGGAAGCTACAGCTTCGTTCCCCTTTCTGGTGACCTCTTCTATTCGCTCCTCACACTGTTCCTTCACCTCCTTCATCTGATTGATGCACTGGCTCCTTTGGTGAAAGAAAGCAAAGAAAAGGCCTGATGTCTATGGCTGTGTCTCTGCTGGACAGTGACATCCACTTCCATAAGAGATACAGACCCTCTTCCTGCTTCAGGCATTTCATCTGAAGATGGCGCTTAAGACAGGGCAACATGTGTGTGTTCAACGATTAAATGACCAAAAGAAACACATTTAAAAAATACCATTGTTCTGAAACAGTGAACTTTACTGATTAGGAAAAAAAAATGTTTTTTAGCATACAATCTGCAGAATAAAAAATATATGTATTCGTCTTTGTCCCTAGCTACTAGCACAGAACTCTTAAAACCCTTGGAAGTTCCTGAGTGAGAATCTGGCTATTCATAACAAGCCCCTCTGGACCAGACTTGACTTTATACTAATGAGGGGACTGTCAGGGGTGGGAGAAGGATGGGCATCAGATAGTTTCAGGACAGAGACTGACTGCCAGAAGAACCAACCACATGACTGGAAAGTTGGAACTTTCAGCTCTATCTCCTCTAGGGAGGAGAGAAGGACTGGAGATTGAGTTCATCCCCATGGCTGATGGTTTCATCAATCATGCCTATATAAAAAACTTGGCCGGGTACAGTGGCTCATGCCTGTAATCCCAGCACTTTGGGAGGCTGAGTCAAGCAGATCATGAGGTCAAGAGATCGAGACCACTTTGACCAACATGATGAAACCGGTCTCTACTAAAAAATTAGCTGAGCGTGGTGGTGCGCACCTGTAGTTTCAGCAACTTGGGAGGCTGAGGCAGGAGAATCACCTGAACCTGTGGTGGAGGAGGTTGCAGGGAGCCGAGATGGCACCATTACACTCCAGCCTGGCGACAGCTAGAGACTCCATCTCAAAAAGAAACAAATTTAAAAAGCCCTCAAACTCCGGACCACAAGGCTTGCAGAGCTTGGCTGGGGAACATAACGATGCACTGGATGGGAGCAGCTGACTCCATGGGACAGCAGCTCCCGTGTCCCCCACACTGACAGCACTCGCCTTAGGACTGTACCACTGGGCTGTTCCGTAAAAGTAAATACAGCTTTCCTGAAAACCTGAGGGGGCAGTGGGTAACCCTAAAGTTGTAGCCAGCCAGGCAGAAGTGAGGGTGGCTGGGGGACATGTCAGACTTGTGGCTGGCATCGGAGGTGGGAGCAGTCATGTGGGATGGAGCCCCTTAACCTCGGGGGTCTGTGCTAAGTGGGTAGTGTCAAAACTTGAACTGAACTGGAGGCCACTTGGTTGAATTGCTGTTGGAATAGACTTTCAAGCACTGCTTCAGCTTTCTGACTAGAATTTATTTTAAGAGTATTTTGACAAGAGCTATGAAGTAATTAAGAGAATTACTCGTTTTGCAAGGGGTGACATGGTTGTCTGCCATGGCCCAGGGTCACAGAGAGGCTGAAGCCGAAGCCAGACTCCAGGGCTCCTTACAGTTGTGCCCTCTCCACCACACAGCTCACAGCTCAGCTCGCCTTTCCTGAGTCGCTGGCATTTCAGAGCCAAATGTGAGTATCACATTCAATCTCTGACTCTCGAAATACACCCTTCAGTTCAAAGCACCACGGGGTCACGACGTACCACACACACACAGAAGGGTACCAGGTGCTGCTGAAATAATGCAGTGCAGAGTTCCTGACCTTGGACAGCCGAGAGAGCAGGTGGAAATTTCATTTAAATACAGTTCTCACCAACATACAAGCCACAGGTGGTAGACTAGTGCAAAGGCGCTTAAACACAGCAAACAAAAAGAGAGCCATCCGATAGTGCAGAACTAAACGAGCAGGTCGTTTGCTATCCCGGACCTTTAAACCTGCCAAAGGACAGTACTGGTTGCACCTGCTCCCAGCCCTGCTAAAACAAAGTACAAAGAGCCTTTATCTCGCAGCCTTGCTGATGAAGTGCGGCTTTCCAGCTTGACAGCCAGGAGCCGAACTACCTCTGTCCTCAATTCTGAGACACAGGTCATGCAGATTGTGATACTGTTTGTCCTGAGGCCTCAGCTTGGCCTTTTCTTACATGCAAGTGGCAAATATTCCAGCATTAACTGGGGCTAAATTGGAGAGAAATACAGGATTTGGGCCACCAGTGATTACTGTAACTGGTGCGACTGATGATCAGAGTACCACTGATGAAATGTGTTCGACACAAGGATCTATCAGTGCAGGGGATCCCATCATCCAGGGCACCGACCATCACAGTATTATATTCCAGTATCAACACTGGAAACTGTTTCCTCACAGCACGGAGATTAGATAGTGAGCGGTTCATCTCATGTGCTGACTCTAGGTACTCCAGGGAGAAAGAAAGCAAGGCTATTTTTGGATGGAGCACAGTGATTGCTCAGCGATGCCTGCCACAGGTGTAGGAGAGTAAAAAGTGGAATGTGTGCCGGCTGACTTCAAGGAAAGCCTACTACCTTGTACATCAGGAAACCTGGCCTTTCCATCACCTTCTGTGTTCTTGGCACTGCCTTCCATAGAAGGACTGGACCAGACGGGATGTTTTAATGGAGGGTGTGCAGTTATGTTTCAGGCACCCTAAGAATTCGCACAAATTGCACAACTTTAGGCAGAGGTCCATTGATAAATTTGCTATCGAAGTGTCTGTACTTTTTATCAGATTCTCTAAAAGGGCCTATAATCCAAAGAAAGTTAAGAATACCTAGCTCTTTTTTGCTTCCAACATTCCATGAACATTACCCCCAGGCCTTGGGCACAGGTAGTGAAACAGACACAGCCAGCCAGAAAGAGCTTTCCATCTAGGTATCAACCCACCAGGTGCAAAAGGAGTGCATCTGATCAGGCACAGTGGCTCACACCTGTAATCCCAGCACTTTGGGAGGCCAAGGTGGGTGATTGCCTGAGGTCAGGAGTTCAAGACCAGCCTGGCCAACACAGTGAAACCCTGTCTCTACTTAAAAAAAAAAAAAAAAAAAAAAAAAAAAAAAAAAAAACACATAGCTGGGTGCAGTGGTAGGCGCAATCCCAGCTACTTGGGAGGCTGAGGCAAAAGAATCACTTGAACCCAGGAGGCAGAGGTTGTGGTGAGCTAAGATCGTGCCACTGCACTCTAGCCTGGGCTACAGAACAAGACTTCGCTCCAAAAAAAAAAAAAAAAAAAAGAGTGCACCCTACAAACATCTCCAGCCCAGGTTAAAGGTGTCCACCCATCACCTCGGCCCAAGCTCTCCTACATGGGGAACAGAGATTCCTTCCCTGTCACTGGGCCCTGACTGATTTCCAGCTAGGTCAAAACCTTCTGGGCCAACACTTCATCTAGTGAGGCCATTTATGGCTTTTTATGTTTACCTATGTGAGGGAAATATTTGCATTAAGGTATCTTTAACAATGAATAATAAAACCAAGGTACTTCTGGCCAGCCGCGGTGGCTCATGCCTGTAATCCCAGCATTTTGGGAAGCTGAGGTGGGCAGATCACCTGAGATCGGGCGAGAACAGCGTGACCAATGTGGAGAAACCCTGTCTCTACTAAAAATACAAAATTAGCTGGGTGTGCTGGCCCATGCCTGTAGTCCCAGCTACTAGGGAGGCTGAGGCAGGATAATTGCTTGAACCTGGGAGGCAGAGGCTGCAGTGAGCCGAGATCACGCCATTGCACTGTGGCCCGGGCAACAAGAGCGAAACTCTATCTCAAAAAAAAAAGACTGAGGTACTTCATTTCTGTTTAGATGCAATTCTTTGATTATCAGCCGAATTCAAGGTTTCTCAACCTTAGCACTGTGTATGTTTTAGGCCAGACAAAACCTGGCTGTGGGAAGCTGTCTAGTGGATTATAGAATATTTAGTAGTGTTGCTGGCCTCTCCCCACTAGATGCCAGTAGCAGCCTCCTTCTAAGCCATGACAGACAAAAATGCCTCCAAACATTGGCAAAGGCCTGCTGGGCATAAGAGTGCCCCTACTCAAGAACCACTGGCATAGCTGAATAAAGTTCCACACATATGGGTGACAATCACATTTCCCTTCGTTTTGAGATGGAGTCTTGCTCTGTCGCCCGGGCTGGAGTGCAGTGGCATAATCTCCAGCTCACTGCAACCTCTGCCTCCCAGATTCAAGCACTTCTCCTGCCTCAGCCTCCTGAGTAGCTAGGATTACAGGCACCCACCACCACACCTGGCTAACTTTTTTTTTTTTTTTTTTAATAGAGATGGGATTTCACTATGTAGGCCAGGCTGATCTCAAACTCCTGACCTCATGATCCACCCAGCCCGGCCTCCCAAAGTGCAGGGATTACAGGCGTGAGCCACTGCGCCTAGCCACATTTCCCTTCTCTTGACTAGTTGCTCATGTCCTTTATAGAGAAATGTACTTGGGGCTTCATGTTTTCAGTTGTATGTGGTTATAAAGTCAGTAGGAAGATACTATGGCAGGTGAACAATGTTTTGGAAGAATGTGGAAATCCCCAAGAACTCAATGCATGTGAGGCAACTGATTCTCCCAGGTTGCTGGTGACCATGCAGATGGCTCAAATCCTTTCAGAATGCAATTTGACACACCCAGCAACAAGCTAAACTACAGGTGAGCCTTACAGAATGAAATTAATCCAAAATGGTAATTTTTAAAAGACAGTTTGGAGCTATATGGATGTTTTAAATATAATGCAAGTAATACAACTTTTTTAATTTAAAAATTAAAAAATAAGAGACTGGCCGGACGCAGTAGCTCACACCTATAATCCCAGCACTCTGGGAGGCTAAGGCGAGTAGGTCACCTGGGGTCCAGTGTTCAAGACCAGCCTGGCCAGCATGGTGAAACCTCATCTCTACTAAAAATACAAAAATTAGCTGGGCGTGGTGGTGCGCGCCTGTAATCCCAGCTACTCAGGAGGCTGAGGAAGGAGACTCGCTCGAACCCAGGAGGTGGAGGATGCAATGAGCTGAGATTGCACTACTGCATGCCAGCCTGGGGACAGAGCAAGACTCCGTCTCAAAAATAAATAAATTAATTAAATAAAATAACATTTTTTGTGACTAAGAATATGGCCCGGCACAGTGGCTCACACCTGTAATCCCAGCACTTTGGGAGGTCAAGGTGGGTGGATCACCTGAGGTCAGGTGTTTGAGACCAGCCTGACCAACAAGGTGAAACTCCATCTCTACTTTAAAAACTACAAAAATTAGCCAGGCATGGTGGCGGGCACCTGTAGTCCCAGCTATTCAGCAGCCTGAGGCATGAGAATGCTTGAACCCAGGAGGTAGAGGTAGAGCTCACTTGCAGTGAGCTGAGCCACTGCACTCCAGCCTGGGCAACAGAGCAAAACTCTGTCTTAAAAGAAAAAAAAAAAAAGAATACACACACACACACACACACACACACACACACAGACACACACTGCAAGTAAATAAAAAAATGATTAAAATTTTTTGATGATGACTGCAGTTAAATAAATTATTCATGTGAACCATGGGCATGGACTGGAGAGAGTTAAGTCAAAGGGGAAAGGACAGTCCCAAGAGTTGGGCGGCGGGTGGCTGGTTCTTTCTGAATCCCAAACTTACTGTTTTATGAGGGGAAAAAAGGAGGGGAAACTTGTAAACTGGTTTTTACTATCTTCCCACAGTGTTTAGCTCACTTTTTAACAGTTTAGTATTGCTTCGATTTCATTATAAAAGTACTCCACTCTCACTGTAAAAATTTGGAAAATCACTGAAAAGTCCAAAGAAAACAAAATTCCCACAATGGTCACCAGGCAATAAACTCTTAATATGGCAATATTTTGCCAAAATGTCTTTTCTTAGTCAAAATGTCTTTTAGTCAACAAATTTGATTTCGCTGACATGTGAGCACCTATGGAACACATTTTTAAAAGCTTTATGTTGTTGACTTAACCAGTACACCTGTGCTTTACAGAGTTTCATGTTACATTTTAAGGCATGCTGAGTAATTCATTTCCTGCTGAGAACTGGCCTCCTTGTGTGTGTGTAGGACATGAATCCTAGAGGGGCCCGTGCCTTTCTGAGAGTCCTGGACGGAGAAGGTGCATGCTCAATCAGAGGTTAGGCCTCCATCTGCTGCCCTCAGCTTAACCCCCCGCCTCCCAGGTGGCATGCACCCTGCACTGGTGGCACACACTTTGAGGTGCACTTACAGGTCATAGGAGAACTTCCTCTCGAGGTTGGTCTGGTTCTTCTGAAACTGGAGGACATCCTGCTGCAGCCTGCCGTAATTCCTCTGCAGGGTCTTTAGCTGGTCTACACCAAGGGAATAAGGAATTGCACAGGGCACAGGCATAGCTGCCATGCCATTCAGCCAAAACACGACAGAGGCAGGCAGACTCACACATGAGAACATAAAGGGCAAGGACAGAACGGGACGAAGGAGAGGACAGAGAAAAAGCTGAAAACACAGCCCCTCCCCAGTCACCACCCCAGCTGTGGAAAGCGCTCTGGAAGAGCATCAACCCAAAAGAAGCGGCAGTCTTGATCCTTTTGCAAATGTCTCTCTTAAATCTTTTTGGCCTCCAGCCCTTAACAGACATTGGCAGCTTCTATGTGCCTAGTCTCTTTCGCAGACATCATAAGCCCCAAGCTGTCCCCCAAGGTCACACGTACCATCCTGTCCTCATCCCCGGCCAACTAAACCTTCCGGCTGTAAAACACTGATTTTTGATGTTTGGTTAGATAAGCAGCCACTCCTGCCGGACTCTCTGCGCTCAGCCACCAGGCTGCCTTCCAGCACCCTCCCTCCGGTCATTTATTCACAGCCAAGCCACTCTCCAAGGCCCTGTGCCCATTTAATCACCCAACACTCTCATCAGGGAAACTGTGGCTTTCTTTAAGAAAATTAATCAGCCCCATCCCTGCTGCCCTGATGACTTGGCATATAAAAGAGCCCTGGTGGACAAAGGGCCAAGCTGGCATGGAAGGGAGGGCAGCCACCAGGGGGATACCACAGTGGGCAGCAGCAGCAGCTGAGCTGAGACACAGACAGACGGACAGGCCGGGACAGATGCCGGCATCCCCAAGGTGTGTCCTCACAACACTGGACCTGCAACGGTCTCAGGTGGAAGATAAACTGAAATAAAACAGAAGGCTTCCGTGAATAACATGGACTCATCCCAAAAGCATGCGTGTGACACCCTCAAGAGACAAAACTGTAGTGAAGAGAACAGCTGGGTGGGTGCTGGGCCCAGAGAGGGAGGGGACTGGTGACTTCCCAGGGCATGGGTGTGGGGTCCTGGAGCGGCGGGCACATGCCATGTTGACTGTGGTGGTGATCCGCAAGATTATTTGTCAGGACTTATCTGACTGTACCCACGAGGGGTAAATATTCTTGTATATAAATGATACTTTAATATGCTTAACTGAAAACACTCCACAGTCCAACTAAGCATGAGACAACAGAACACAAGTCAACAGTCAAAAGAAATGAACAATGCCAGGCATGGTGGCTCACGCCTGTAATCCCATCACTTTGGGAGGCCGAGGTGGGCGGATCACAAGGTTAGGAGTTCCGAGACCAGCCTGACCAACATAGTGAAATCCCATCTCTACTAAAAATACAAAAATTAGTTGGGCATGGTTAAGAAGTGTCTGTAGTCCCAGCTACTTGGGAGGCTGAGGCAGGATAATTGCTTGAACCTGGGAGGTCGAGGTTGCAGTGAGCCGAGATTGCACCACTGCACTCCAGCCTGGGCAACAGAGTAAGACAAAAAAAAAAAAAAAAAAAAAAAAGAATGACTTATATTACAATGACATGGATGAATCACAAATAATGCTGAGTGAGAGAAGCCAGGCAAAAACCAGTGTAGATGGTCTGATTCCATCTGCACGCATGCACCCAACTATTAAAAACGCAAACTAGTCTACATGGCAGACCAGAGGCTGCCTGAGGAAGGGGGATCACCAAGGCGCCCAAGCAGACTTTTGGGACTGATTAATTTGTTCCCTATGCTGACTCTAGTGGGCGTTACTTGACACGTATGCTCTATCAAAACTGCTGTATCAAACTGAACCTTTATGTGGGGTTTACTAAATGTCAGATAGGCACAATTAAAGCTGCTTTCTGAGAGTAAGGAGAGGAAAGGCTGCAGCCACAGTTCAGCAGCAGATCACAAGCTCTGAGACCACCGCCCCCCGCTTCAGCCAGGCAGCCTCTTCAACTTCGTGTAACCCTACGTTTCCCCCAAACACATTTCACAAAGTGACCCCTTTTCATATAAGACTTTTTAATATTCTTAGAACCTGACTTAGAATTCTGACCCAGCACAGACCAACAGAACTATAATGCAAGTCATATAGGGAATTTTTAATTTCCCAGTAACCACATTTTTAGAGTAAAGATTATTCAATCCAACAGATGATTTAGCCCAACAGCATGGACCCTGCTGACCCCTCCTGTCACAGTGGAAGGAGGAGCCCCCCCACACAAAGGACAGCACACCATTTCCTGTTGGCTGCTTCAGAAGGATCCAAAGGAAAACCAATCCCCAGCTGCCAAGTTGAGTCAGAATAGGAAAGAAGGGCAATTAGATCGGGCTGGACAGTTTTTCTAAGTTTCATGAACAAAATCTAAATTCAGCATGACCCAATTAACAGGTCACATATATACCGTGTGTGTATATAACAGAACATGTATCTTTCATAAGCACTATTTCTTAACACATTCATGAATGACATTCTGAACTCTTCTGTAACTAACAGCTTGCAATGTATTCAGCAGTATTTTTTTTTTTTTTAAAGGAAAAGCCTCTTACGGAGACAGAGTTAGGCAAAAAGAATAAAGATTGTTCAATGACTCATGACATTATCCACCATGAGATTATAATGCAGACCCACCTGGACCTGGAGAAGAATGAGAGAAAGGGGGCTTCCTCCTAAAAGGCCAGTGCCTGGCATGGAGGAGCGGAGCGAACTTACCTTGCAGCACTCGGATGAGCCTCTCGCCTGTGGTGATGTTATTCACCAAAACCGCCTGCAAGGAAGATAAATACGCGTGAAACACCCAAACCAACACCGCAGCCTGACAGCCAGATAGTGATGGAAACCAAGGATGGGGCTGCTGACCCCAACCCAGCGCTGCTGTCAGGGAAGAAGCTGGAGTTCAGCACTCGGGCTGGATCCTTCCATGTCTGCTGCTGAAAAGTAACAGACTGCCCTAGAGATCCGCTCCCCACCATCGCCTCCATCCTGAACAAAAGCAAACAAGTCCGGCTCAGCTCCAGCCCAGGAAACGCTGCTCCTCCAGAAAAGGCCCCAGCTAGGCCTCACTTCCTCCTGCCTGACAGCAGAAGCTCCAGGCACCCAGAGGGCTAATCACTAACCTCACACAGCACCACACAACATTCCATACACCACTTCACACCAAACCACACCACACACACCATCTACCACTTCACACAAAACCGTATCACACACACCATATACCACTTCACACAAAACCACACCACACCACACCATACACCACTTCACACCAAACCACACACCAAACCACACCACATACACCATATACCACTTCACACCAAACCACACCACACACACCATGTACCACTTCACACCAAACCACGTAACACACCATATGCCACTTCACACCAAACCACACCATGTATCACTTCACACCAAACCACGTAACACCACACCATATACCACTTCACACCAAACCACACCACACACCACATACCACTTCACACCAAACCACACACCACACACCACTTCACACCAAACTACATAAAACCACACCACATACACCACACACCACTCCACACCAAACCACACTACCCCATATGACACCACACCATATAGCACTTCACACCAAACTACGTAACACCACACCACACATACTACTCCACACCAAACCACATCACACCTCACCACTCCTCTACACCAGACACACATCACACATACCACACACCATACCACATAACACTCCACATCACACACCATGCCACACCACTCCACACTATGCCACACTATGCCAAACACACCACACTCCACACCAAGCCACACCACACCACATAGTACTTCACACCAAACCACACACTACACACACCACTCCACACCAAACCACATTATACAACACACCACTCTACTCCATATCACACACAACACTCCACACAACACACCACTCCACACCAAACCACACACCATACAACACTTCACACCAAACCATACCACACACACCATATACCACTTCACACCAAACCACATAACACACCATATACCACTTCACACCAAACCATATCACACACACCATATACCATTTCACACAAAACCACACTACATGCCACGTATACCACTTCACACCAAACCATATCACACACACCATATACCATTTCACACAAAACCACACTACATGCCACGTATACCACTTCACACCAAACCACACCACACACTTCACACCAAACCACACCACACACACCATATGCCACTTCACACCAAACCACATAACACACCATATACCACTTCACAACAAACCACACATCATACCATATACCACTTCACACCAAACCACATAACACCACACCACACATACCACTCCACACCAAACCATATCACACCACACCACTCATACCACTCCACACCAAACCACATCACACCACACCACTCCTCTACACCAGACACACATCACACACCACACCACACACACCACATACCACTCCAAACCACACACCATGCCACACCACTCCACACTATGCCACAGTATGCCAAACACACCACACACAACACACCACTTCACACCAAACTAGACACCACACACACCACACACCACTCCACACCAAACCACATTACACCACAACACACCACTCTACTCCATACCACACACAACACTCCACACAACACACCACTCCACACCAAACCAAACCACACACCATGCCACACATACCACACACTCTACACCAAACCACAACGCACCACACACAACACCAAACCACACCATACCACACTATGCACCACTCCCCACACACCATACCACACCACACACACCATGCACCACTCTACAACACTCCACACACCAAACTACCCACATCATGCCACATCACTCCACACCAGACCACATCATACAGCACCACACCACACTACACCGCACCATGCCACATCACTCTACACACTCCACACACCACTCCACACAATACGACACACCACTCCACAACAAACCACACCACTCCACACACCACACACCGAACTACACCACACCATGCCACACTACTACACACCAAACCCCATCACACACCACCACACCACATACCACACCAAACTACACCACACTATGCCACACACCACTCCACACAACAGACACACCACTCCACACAACACGCAACACACCACTCCACAACAAACCATACCACACTACATATCACTCCATACCACTTCACACACTGCTCCACACACCACTCCACACACATACCATGCACCACTCCACACACACCACACACTGCTCCACACACACATCACACACCACACCACACATACACCACTCCACACCCAAGAGGGCACACAGTGCTCCGCACAACACATCACACACCACACCAAACCACACCACCACAGCACTCCACACCACAGCACTCTACAGCACACCAGCTCACACTGCACAACTCTGCACCACTCCACACCAGCCTAGGTCACTCCCTCCCTCAGAGCTCACACTCTGAATTCCAGGCTGGCTAAAAAACAAAAGGGAATGAGGGGTCACTCCACTAACAAGACCTCTTGATGTACTTGAACTTCTGGCCTTCTCCTGTCCACAGTCTATAAGCTTAGGGGCTAGAGGCGTTCACACACCGTCTCACCACGCTGGGAAAGTCAATAGCAAAGGAGGACAGAAGCCGAGCAGGATCCAGGTAACAACAAAGTGAAAAGAAGAATGAATGTCACGCTCAAGGTAACAGTTGGCCAATACGCCCTGACAAGTCACTTTATGCCAGGAGCTCTTCTAAGCACTCCACATCTACTCACTCATTCACTTTTTTTTTTTTTTTTTTTTTTTTTTTTTTGTGAGACAGAGTTTTGCTCTATCACCCAGGCTGGGGTGCAATGGTGCCATCTCAGCTCACTGCAATCTCCACCTCCCGGGTTCAAGTGATTCTCCTGCCTCAGCCTCCCAAGTAGCTGGGATTACAGGCGTGCACCACCACACCTGGCTAATTTTTGTATTTTTAGCAGAGGTGGGGTTTTGCCATGTTGGCCAGGCTGGTCTTAAACTTCTGACCTCAAGTAATTTGCCCACCTTGGCCTCCCAAAGTGCTGGGTATACAGGCATAGCCACTGCGCCTGGCCTCATTTACTCTTCTTGACAGTTAGGTGAGGTAGTGGTGTATCATCCCATTTTAGGAACAGGGAAACTAAGCCACAGGCTGCTTAAATGGCTCACAGCCACCCGCCTACTAAGAGGCAAAGCCAAACTCCAGCTCCAACAGGTGTGCTGGAGAGCAAGCTCTTCACAGCTACTTGCCAAGTTTCTATAAACCCAAGTAGGACACCAACGTACTGAGCTGCACCTAATGCTAAAAACAAGCGAAAGCCTAAAAAGGGGAAGAGAATATGAAATATCAGAGTGCACTGCGCAGGTAAACTCCATCTTACAAACACATGCAGCTTGTATGTGTGCCGGGCCACAACGTGAACATTTCTTACTGTGTCATCTTCAATAAAGTTGGCAAACACTCGACGACTTGACATGCTGCCCATAACGTGGAGACACATTTCTGTCCCATCCCTATTAACGGCAGATGACAAGCACAGCACCTCTTCCTCTCCTGTGACCTTTCTGTGCAAACACCCCGTTTTCTCAGGCCTGGGCAGAAACAAGGCTCAGGCAAACAGCAGGCTTTTGGAGTAAGGCGTTTATGAACACAGGGATGCATGCCCACAAATGAAATCGCATCAAACAAATCTGGTGTTTGGGAGCTCTGAGGACATGGAACATTTCCTGGGGAAACAGCAGAGAAGTCACAGTGATAATACCTGCAAAATTCATCCCTCAGGGAAAGATAATCCGAAGGAGTGTGTAAAGATATGCTGTGTGTCAGGGGTTTTTCAGGGAGAGAGATTAGAACATGAAAGGAGGACCCACACAGTAGAAATCGGATTTATGCAGCACCTGCTAGCTACTCTTGGAAAAAGTTTGCAGATGTTCACGTGCAAAGAGAAACGATTACCATGTGATCCCGCAACACCACTTGTGTGTATGTATCCAGAAGCTTTCAAAGCAGGATCCCCAAGAGCTATCTGCACTCTCATGTTCGCTGCAGCTTTACTCACAATTACCAAGAGGTGAAAGCAACCCAAGGGACCGTGGATGAATGTTGATAAGCAAAATGTGGTATATACATACAATGAAATATTATGCCACCTTTACAAATAAGAAAATACTGACACACTACATCATGAATGAATGCAGACATTACACTACATGAAAACATAGGCAAGTCACAGAAGGACAAATGCTGTATGATTCCATTCATATGAAGTACATAATCAAAATCACAAAAACGAAATAGAAAGGTAGCTGTCTAGGAATGGGCAGTGGCGGGGTCGGGGGAATTGGTGTAGCGTGAATAGAGTCCCAGTATTGCAGAATTAAAAATTCTAGACATCTGCTGCACAACAATGTGAATATCCTTCACGTCACTGATCTGTACACTTCAATTTCCACTTGCATCAGTATGAAAACCATGTTTCTTGCAGACATCAGTGTGAGACCAAACAAGGAAAAAAAAAAAAAAAGAACACTTAAATAATTATACAGTGTTTACCACCAGAGCTCATCTCCTGGGTAAATAATATCTTTCGTATCTCCTGAGTAAATAATTTCTATAAAAATTATGGCAATTTGACACATCCTTTTCCATCCATTCCCCTTAGCTCCTCTCCCCCCACAAATCCACATTAGTACTTGCAACTGAGGTTCAGATACTGGTGCAATTGAAATATCTGACGATATTTCTGTCTCCACGTGACTTTATTCTTCCAAAAAAT